GTTCCCGTCCCTGTCCCTTTGGGGGGGGGGGGGGGGGGGTTAGGTCTTGGAGTGTACGATCCGCTTTAGTTTGGCGAACTGTTTGATACACATAGACAAGCGAGGGAGCCACAGGTCTCTCTTCCCCTGATATGGCTAATATAGCCTGTATCTTTGATGCTGAACGTTGTCCACGTTCTTTTCTAAGTCTTCATGTACGTTTACCATGTCCCATTGTGATCACTTGTCGCATATGAGAAGTGAAAGTGGTTTGAGACGACTGGAAACGCAGGTATCATCTCGGATTCCTCATGGTGTTATATAAACGAGATGCCCGGTAGATAGGTTTGGGAAATCGGTAAATGGAAGATGTCATGGATGTAAACTATGGATCGGTATATATATGATGGAATATTGGGGAAGGAGAATAAGTGAGGAAGGGGAAAGGGTCGAAGGGGAAGGGATGGTGAGCGATCTGACATTAGCGGTGCACTGATAGTTAAGATGTAGTGCGCAGTGCACCCATCTCCTACGAGCAGCAAGTAGTGTGTATGTAGTGTGGTAGTGGCGGGGAAGGGAGGGAGGGCGGCCATCATCTTCTTCATCGCGGTCGTCTCAATCATCATCATCGACATCACCATCTACAGCAACACCATCTTGTGTCTCTAGATAATTGCCCGAGGGGATCGATAATACAAAAATAATTGTGATTGAGATACATACCCACACCTGTATAGATCGAGGAAGGTCGAGGAAGAAGAGCAGAACAAACACCCCTACCCTACATTACCTTACATGCGGGACAAACACCACACATTTCATCACAACCATCTGCCTCCTACTCTACCAGGCTGGACAACCACCCCATTTTATTTATTTTTACTAGAGTACCACCACCGCAACAAGGCGGTCTGAGGCTTTCCCAGGGAACAATCGGAAGCGAAAAGTGAGATTTGCAGGCCCATGGGACATTGAATTCCGGGATGGAGAAGGTTGTTCCTCCTCGCCCTTATATTTGTTTTTTTTCACAATGTTTTTTTGTTCCGTCACAGTACTGTCCTCGCATAAACGCAGACCACTTACTGCAAAGGTAGGCAACCTAGACACCTTCGAGAATAATACATAACCCATCCCAGAAGCAAGTGAGGTGGGACTTCCAAGTCAGGAACTGGGCGGAAGAGGATCTATGTATGAGCCTACCATACATTCATCTCGTTTATACGCGAATGTCGGCAGATGCGTCTTGAGGCCCACGGCCGCCGAAATACTGGCCGAAGATAGAACGACAGGTATGATTCGCTGGCGAGCGCCAACCACAACACACTGGATGCTGCCTCTGCTGGTGCTTCTACTGCTGGTGGTGGTTAGTTAAGGTAGGTGTAGGAGGACTTCGATCGAGTGGGGAGCGCAGAGTATGTACAGTAAGGTAATTGTGTATCGTATGTATGAATACTCGTACATAATACCCACATACAGCCTACATACGGATACCGAAGAAGACAGTAGGTAACAAGACAAGAGATCGTAGCCGGTGGGGTTATGCGACTTTGTTTCAGCACGAGTGCAGACAACCATAGGTACATACAGACGGATGCCAGTTGTTTGTTTCTTCCGTCTGTAACTATCCCTATGGAGAATAGCTCCCGCGGTCCAACACCTCAATTTTGCCCAACTCCACCTCAACCTCCACCCTTCTCTAGTAGGCCCAACCGGCGAGTTGCAAGGAGGAAGTTCCAACCTCTGATTTCCTGGGGGGCATGGGAACCGGCAAACATTCTACATAGAGTACCTACCTACCAATCTACTTATGTACGTACAGCCAGCAGCCTACATACTGTACGAGAAACGAGCGAGAAACAAATCTCTCCCACCGCCCACACACCCCGGCCCCGCGTCTCCCATCCCTTCTTCTCCTCAGCCTGCCCCAGGTTTCAGAGTGGTATCCTACTGGTGGTGGTACATACTACATAAGGTGGTGGTGGTGGTGGGAGGTAGTACTACAGCCGTACTGGTAGTAATGGTGTGTGGTATGGGTACATGATACCTGTAGTAGTACCGTAGTACCAGCCAGTATTTGGTATGTAGTGCACGCCCATCACTTGTTTTATGTTTTATTACTGTTTTACTATTTTGTTTTGTTTATGGTTATTATTACTATCGCTATGATTATTATTAACTATCACTCTTGTTTCTCGTTTCCGGCAGACAGGTAGAGGAGGTACCCTGTAGTACCGGGGGCCACACATTTACCAGCCCCATGTATATGTAGCCCAATTCTCGTTCCCCATACATGTTTCTCTACAGTAATGGATGGTCCCTGTATGTACTATAGAGGTACAGCTACATACGTAGAGTTGTAGAGTAGGTACATGTACCCTAAGTAGAGTCCCAAAGTACCCAAGCAAGTACATGTAAGTACATGTAGAGTATATGCCATATGCATTACCTATAGATGGCCCCCCACCACTACCGCGCTCTTCATCCTCTCCCTGTACGTTCAACGGCTGTATTTTCCCCATACTAACATCTCTATCTCGCCCCTGCGACATGGGTGTTTGGTACATACGTTTGGTTTGGTTTGAGAGAGAGCGAGGGCAGATAGATGGACACAGATAGGTAGCCGATCGGATCGGGAACCTCCTACCACAAGTGAAGGGGAAGGGAAAGAAAAGAAACACGCCGACACACTCCCGATGCTCCACAATACACATCTCGTACAGCGCGTTGCCCCCCCCGCAACAGGCAACGATATCGGGTGTTCTCACCCTTCGGAGTCAAGTGGCAGGGTCAAGCAACAGCAACGACCTCACTTCCTCGATCTCGCGGGATGGGCGAGGGAGGGAGGCTGGTTGGCTGGTTGGCAAGAAACCCGAGAAACAGGTAGCATGGGCAAAAAACAAGTAAAGTGTACATACATGTAGATACCAGCTAGGTACATACTCGTACTTTTTGTGGGAAAGTAGGGTGATGGGCGAGTGACAAATGCAATCTATCCCACCCAATTCTCGATTGTGTCCGACCCGCCAAGGAATTTCCGGATTTGTAGAGGTGGTGGTGGTGTAGCTACATACAAGCTTGTGCTTGTGATTCTGATGGTGGTGGTGCGCTCTACTTACGACTCCCTCCCTCCCTTCCACAAGGAAGGGAAACCACTTCAAAGCCGAGCTGCTGCAGAAAAAGAAAGAAAGAAAGAAAGAAAGAAATAAACATAATAGCGAGCAGAATAAGAAAAGAAAGCCTAACGATGATGTCTCCAGGCCAATAGATACAAGCGGATAAGGACGGATGTGTGGCGAGTGCGAATATTATCTTCCCAGATTTCACTCCCGCCCTCGCCTCAGCTTGGTAATTGATGAGGGAAACAACTTTTACATGCATATTGCTTTGCGAAACACTCGAAATTGTTTGTTGGTGGATAACCTCGAGGGTTACGCCAACCTTTTTTTTTTCTCTGAGTGTGTATTGGACGAATGTGGATGTTTATGAACGACCATACCGGTCCTATCATTAATCTCACTTCCCTCTTTTCTCCCTCACTCCATTACTCCTACCTTACTCCTCTCTTTCCCTAGGTCCTATTCCTCATGCTATGATGTATGTATGTAGCTCTTACATAGCTCGCCCGTTTGTTTCCCTGGTCCTATTATTTTTAATTCCCTCCCCCATATCGGTGGTGCATTTGTTTATCTTGAGCTCTATCTCTACTAGCCCGACGACAAATTACCCATATGACCATGATGACCATGTACCAGTTATGTACAAAGTTTTTTTCTTGAAGATTATATCTCTCCTATATAAACGGCGCAAGATGTTTGGCGCACATATTATGAAATGATACCTTTTTATCGTCGCGTGACAGTAATAGCACTTAAGCAGCAGTAGCAGCAGCAAGCAGCAAGCAGCAGCAGCAACGCAGCTAGAAGCATCATGATCAGATCAGAGCAGCCGCGGCAGCACAAAATCGCCGAGTGTGTGCGGAGATCAAGAAAAAAAAAAAAAAAAAAAAAAAAAAGAACAAGAGGTATGATAGAAGACGTAGGTAAGTAAATATACCTGGATATGTGTGGCCGGTATGTAGATAATGAGTGAAAGTATTACCTGTATGTAGCTGAGGACGGGTTAATAATGTACGATATGTACTTTCAGGCAAGCAGGTAATCTCTCTCCATGAAAGGCCCCGTAAGTACATCAAAGTACATCAAGTCCTTTTCGCATGTTTTCTCATGGGCAGCTCCACAAACAATACCTACCTACATACATGTACATATCTTCTACCCCGCACTGGCCTTTCCACCCCCCAACGCCCACCCCCCCCCCCCCCCCCCAATGGAATGTCGCACATGGCCCGGCCCTATGTACGTTTTTTCTATCTTCTTCCTTCCCTCCACTCCCCCATTTATTCATAGGAGAAGAAAGGAATAGGGAAGGAGAAGGGGGAAAAAAAGCTAGCTAATGATGTACCCCCCCCCTTCCCCCCCCTCGATTTTCTTGTTCCCCTCTATATAGAGAGTACAATGGGTCGCAGGCATCTTCCCACAAAAGAGCGGGTATTCTACCTACCTACAGCTGCAGCCGTGGCGGCGATCACCTAGTTGCAAGTAGTAGTAGTAGTAGCTCGAACCTTTTCGACCTTGCTTTCTCGCCCGTCACTTATCGTATCAAGATTCAGTTGCTTTTTTATATCGGATCATATCAACCCTACCCCCCCAAAGCAGTAACTATCAGACAGAGGGAACTAAAACTAAACTATGTCGTGAGTTCACATCTTATCAGCCGCCTGTTGTTTTTGTTTGTTTGTCCTGCCCTGCCTGTCCTAGGCCTGACCCTTCTTCCCTGCCCTCTCGATATCTCATACAGCACATTATCAGGGCCTGCACGCCGAGTACTTCTTCCTCTGCCAAAAAAAAATAAAAAAAAATAAAGGATAGCATTTCCCGGAAGAAAGAAAAAAAAAGTCAAAGGTATCCAAGTAAAGGTCAGGTCAAGCAACTGACACAGTACCCGTGCGCCTACCTAGCAGTATGCCGTCGAAACGGCCCATCAAGCCCGCCGTTAACGTTGAGCACCTCAACCCCTCCTCAGCCACAGGAGGAGGAGTACTTGGGTCATTACCAGACATCGAGGAGCAGCATGCCAAAACCGAAGATGATGATTCCGCCTCGGCCGCGCTGAGTCCAATCACCCCGACCACCAACAAAAAGCGGCGAGCGTCCAAGCAGCCCGCGTCATCGGGCTCCGGCGAGGGAGGGCCCTCGTCAGGTGGCGTGAAACGGACACGGACAAACACGCCGTGGACGGCGACGGAGGAGCAACGACTCAAAAGTATGAGGGATGCTGGTAGTTCGTGGAGTGATATTGCAAAGACGTTTCCGACGAGGACGGAGGGCAGCGTAAAGAAGCACTGGTACAAGGTAGGTGGTAGATATCACCCCATCCCGAAACTCAAAAAGATTTGTATTGACTGTGGATGCGGGGGTAGGATATGCACTATGCAGAGTTTGCTGAAGATGAGGTGAGCATCCTTTACCTTATTGTTCCTCAGAGAATATATATAAGATATATATCTCGACTTTTGACTGCGGTTGCTGACTATTGAATCGTTCGTGACAAAGAGTGCGGCCTTGCTTGCAGCTATCAAAGAATATGATGCAAACAAATGGAAGGTTATCGGCAGCAAGGTTAATAAGCCGGCAAAGGTACACTCATATTCATGATCTTTTTGTGTCCTCCATGAACCTTCTCTTGCCCTTCCTCTTTCCTCTTTCCTATTCTCCACCACTGTTCTGACAAGACCCGAAATTGAAACAGGCTTGCGAGCAATACGCAAAGGAACATTTCTCGGGAAAGTAAGGCCTGATTGCCTGCTGCTGGCGAGAGAACCGATCGGTTTTGGTTTGGCGTAGGCAGGCGCATACTGAATGGAGAGCTTCTTTTTATTTTATTTTTTTTGTTATTCTTATTTATTTTATTTCATTCTCTTTTCTGGCTTGGTTTTGGTATTGGTTATTATGGTCGACGTCCTTCTGGTAAACGATTTTTGTTTGTTTATGTTTTTCCCTATGTTTCCTTTGAAAATTTAAGGTTTTTGTGGTAGTTAGCTCAGTTTGTTAGTTTCGTGGGGAAATAGGCGGGGCAGTGCAGGGTTCGCTAGCGGCAGCGGGGGCGGGGGGAGAAGCTAGTTTTGGATATGGAGGGGTGTGGGGTGTGGGGGAGATACTCGATCTTTGACTGTCGTCTCTTTTTTGTTCTTTATTTTTTTATAACCCTAATCCTTTCTCGTTACTTCTTTTTTGTTCCTTCCCTTCTATTCAACGGCGTAGCTGGATGCATTATGATTGACTGAGTTTTTGCCACATAAGAAAATGTTCTGAATTATTTTCGAGAACTGAGACTGAGAGAGACAGGCAGGTAGAACAGAGGTTGAGACGAACCACAAATTAACCAAAAGTATTATTTGTATTTCGTACTGATTAATATCGATATCATATCAGCGTCTGCCTGATGAGATATCATTCAGGATTCATCATGACCCCGCTACCTGTCAGGGAAAAAAAGGGCCCAAGAGAGAGAGAGAAAAAGCCCCCAAAAAATAAGCTCTCTGGACATGGACGTCCCATGCATTAACGTGGAGGGGCCAAACTCGGTTCCAGCCGATCTGGCTGCTGCCAAGCTTGCTATGCTCCCCTCCCTAGACTCGGTAAAGTTGGCCAGGATGTTGATGTTCTACTCTTGAGTAAGCACGGGCCGATCCTGACAGATATACTTGGCTAGCTGCCGTTGAACTACATGTCGAAATGAGTAGATGGACGGATGGATGGATGTGTGGACGGATTGACATACATCATACACACCTACCTTGAACATGCTGGAGGGAGGGGACATACCTACCACATAGGTACTGTTCCATACTACATGTACCTGATACCCCCCCCACATATTGTATCTACTAGTACATGTAGTTACTCTCTGACCTACCCACACAATATACCACTACCTGGTTGGTTGATCACCACCAACCCATAGATAACTCAATTACAGATCCCGTGAGATTTTCAAACCAACACTGATTTTTTTTCCCTGTCTTATTAAGCTCCCTTCAGCCACAACTCCCGGTGCACGGTGGTGCTGATATGTTCCGCAGCGTATTTCAACTGGCTGCAGGATGAACACGCGCGGGATTACGAACGGCAGATTTATAATTCTGTAGTTATCTGTCACGTTGGCTCGGGGGTCGTGTCGTTAATAGGGCAAATTATAAACCGGCGAGGAAGTAATAGTAGATAAAACCAACAGTTTTCTTGCGCATGGCTGACCAGTCCGATATGATCCTAGTTGAATCGTTCACCTGGCTTACCTAGCGAGAAAATAAAATAAAAAAGAGCTCAAACGTTAATGTTGTTATACGGGTAAATACCGTACCGCGAATCCTTTTCCTGTCGGTACATTAACACCACGTCTTTTGTGCAAGAAAAGCAAAACATTAATAAGAAGTGGGTGAGATTGAAGAAGCAAAAAATAAGAGGGAAAAGTACCCTCGTAAACAACTGCCATGGAGTTCTGTAAGCTACAATGACATTCCGAATGTCATTTCGCGAGTGAATACCATAGCGAGATTCCCTAGAGCAATAATAGACCCGGCTCGCTTTTCTTTTTTCTTTTCAAATGGTCCTCAGACGACGTTTCCTGGGAACGTACATACATGGCTCAAATCCGTGAAGCAAGCGAGGGAACTAAAAAAAAGGACGACAAACGTTTGCATCACCCTCACAATTTCTAGCACCTCTCGGTAGGTATGTAGGTACTCATTGGCAATTGGTTAAAGCCAGAACTAAAATCAAAGGCGGTTACCCATAATTATAACGCCGAGTAGTCAGAAATCGATCATTTTGACCTGGTTTTTGATGTTGATCACACAACTGGTGCATGATTAACCACCCCCCTCATCGCCCCAGTCCTTATCTATATCGGAAGTTATGAGGGAGAGAAAGGCACTACCATTTTCTTTTTTCATCCCCCCTATTTTGACGCCTTGTCCGCTTGCTCGCAACAACGAGAATATAGACTTTCCGATATGTCTTGAAAGTCCGCGATGACGTGGCTACCGTGGCAGGGCGATGTAAGTGATTTTTAAATCTTGCAAATTCATAAGCCCACGATCTGTGATCGGCAGTGCCAGAGGGAGGGAAAACAAAACCTAGGAGGTAGTTAGGTGCGTATGACAAGGCAAGATCGTAATTGTCTCCAGAGGGTGGTGCTGTGGTGGTGGCATGCACCTCTGCAAAACATCCCGAGGAGGGGTGGTTATGATTGGATTAGCTTTGATCAAATCTTCTTTCTTTTACGCCTAAAATTGCCCAACCGGAAAGTTTTGAGGGAGGGTGAGATTATGATATGACGCGAGGGAATTCGAAACAGAAATCCTATTGCTTGCCCAATGTCGTTGTGACCGTTTTCCTTCGAATGATTCAAAAATGCATATATCGTGTGTTATATTGGATCCGGATTAATCATGGCGAAGAAGCAAATACGATTGATCGCCCTTTAGTGGATGAGGTGAGGTTAGTAAATCTTTGGGCAACGTTACATCAACTTTAGATTTTGTTTTAATATACGTAGGGAGGGGGTTAAGAGGTCCATAGATCATGTCTCGGCCTAGCTAGGTCTCGGGAGGGAGCCACACTTACTATATTTGCCCAGTACACATGCAAAAGGTCCAAAGTATCACCAGATTTGTTGGACTTGATGCAGAATTCCACCATCGTCTCCTGCACTATTGACCGTTGGTGGCTGAGATTAGTAGCATTCTGGATTTAGTAATTAATATGCAATCTCTCATCGCAGCTTGGCTGGCCTCGAGGTTTTGGTAGTCAATATCTTGTACAGGCACGAATTTCTGTATAGATTAAGGTGTCCGTGATATAGGGCTTCATGTTTCAGTAAATATATCTCAGGATGCCACGAAATGCATCGATTAACGGCAAAGATTTCCTAAGCAAATAAGATGGAGAGATTAAGTCCGAATGTTGATGACGTTGCTGAAATTCAACGCCGGCAGCACCCCAAGCATCGTGTCCTGGATTCCAGACTAGCCTCTTGAACTTACTTTTTTTTCGCTACGTAGACCATGTTTCCCATGCAATTTTCCAGATTCGATGTCGACCTTTTTTTCAACAATAATTAAGATAGGTCATGATCACAAATTTCCAAACCAAAGGACGAACCTGGTAAAACGGTTATCCGCATCTCAGCACTGCCCATAAAAGGTGAGTTTTTCCGTCTCTTCTCCTGCGTAACACACCATCAACGATACAGTAGTAGCCTTAATCATAGTTGATGTACCGAAATAAAAAGAAAGCTGATGATAAAAAGCAGTCATAGATATGATCCGCCTTGTTTTCGTAAGACTGCACTCAGCACTTAATTCTGCCACCCCCTCCCCTTTTTTCAACAGTGGATCTGGGGTGGGAGGTCCCGCAAGGTTGTTTTGTTTAAAGGCTGATTGATTTGATATTGGATGATCCTGGTTTGGTACAACCCACCTAGCTTACCGTAAAGGTAGAAAAAGATATATCGCGGTAGGTCCTGGATGACCAACAGCAGGTACTATCTCCGCACAAGTCCCATGAGGAAAAAAAAGGAGTTTCTGATACAAGCTTCTCACTGACCGAGGAGGTATGCACAGATTTGTCATTTGTGTGGCTCTAGATGATCCGATGGAGCCAAGATGAAACTCTTACTTTCAAGCGAGGTGAGAGATAGGTAGATGTAGGGAAGGTGGTATGTTCTCATTCAAGGCTCCGGGGAGTGCAGATGAGTATTTTTCCACCCCCGTGCGATTGATGCATGATGAATCCTCCACCCTTTCCCCTTCTCACCCTGGTCCGCCCAGTTCTGCCTTGCTCTGATATGCATCCAGTGCTAGGATAGGTGATGTGCAAGGGCAAAAAGTTGCAGGGGATGCGAGAAACAGATTTTAAAACGCGAGCCGACGGTCCGCTTGGATGTGTATGTATCAGACCTCCAAAGGTGGAGACGAAGTCGTTCTGACAGCCAACTAGGATCCGCTAGAGTAAAACGGTTTGGACCATGGATGACCCATGGCCCAACGTTCGCTCTCTCACAACCAACAATAAAATAAAAAACATTTTATCTTGTTAAAGGAAAAGCAAAATGATTATTCCGCAGACAGAAACGTGATTGCGCGCGCGTATGTAACCGTTAGTATCAAGTGGGGTTTCTGTCACGCTTGTCTCTCTTTCCCTTTCGAAGTTTCAGCCCTGCCGAAGATCAGATGAACCATTGCTTGAGTAACGGACTGCCCGTCAAGATTGCGGATCAACCCCAGAAGGGCCAGTGATCGTCAGCACAACTTTGGAACCGAAAATCGTTCAAGAAACGATATGGCTTGGTTTCATATATGTGCACAACGTTATTTAACTGGTGTGTTTTCGGCCCTCACTATGTATCAATATCGCAAAGTTCCGTGCGTGCCAAGATAAGGGAAACCGACCCGAGACGGGATCCCAGACGCGAGGAGATTATAGCTTCGGTTGCGAAACGGCGGGGTGGGGGGGAGGGGGGGAAGGATATACGGCATTCGGCTGCGGGTTATGATTGTAGGTAGTTGATTGTGGGTATTCCAGTCATTTCACACTGTTGGGTGCGTGTGAGTGTAGAGTAGTGTTGGGAGAAGATCATCTCAACGAGGAAACTCGGGAGGTTCGTCCCAAAAAAGATATCAAATAAAAAAACAATGCCCAGCCGGGGATTTTTTGGCGGTTTGTGACCAGAAACCTTGAGGTGAGGCAAGCACATTTGCATGCAAACTGATTGGTGAAGGGAGAAAAGTAGTTAGTAGCTAGCTAGTATGGATGTAGGCCAGCGAAAAAAAGAAAAGAAAACCTACCTACATTGATCTGACTGATTGACAGGGCTCGGAAAAGGGAAACGCGACAACAACAACATGAACAGCCTGTGAGAGAGATGTCTCCTGGGAGGGGGGCATTTTTAGACTTAGACTGCTCTATTATTCCAAGTACCCACACGCATACACGAGTACCTACATGTAGAGTACCTACTCGTACATAAATAACATGCACACCACGCATAAACCCTTTCACCTACCCTACCTAGCTAGACACATTATTTACGAGAGGGTCACTCCTAGAACCCAACCATTCTGCGCGAGCGGAGATGACCTGCCAAAGCAAGCCTCGCTGATCCAGTGATTTGGGGAGGCTTTGCCCCGCACAAAAGTAACCACAGAAAGTCAAGACGAGAGCTGCAATATTTGATCAACAGCCACCAACGTTGTCTAAATTACGTTTGATGTGCAACGCCTTTTGACCAGGTTCAACCCAGGGGAATGCCTCAATTGTAGACATGGTTGGGGCTGCCGGGTCGGGGTTCGAACGGTCGCAGGAGGGTCGCGGGCGCAAGGCACGGTTCATGCATTGGTTCTTTCTCCACCTCACTTCCCCCGCCCTAAGTTTCGCTCGTTCGCAAAGAGGTCTGTTAGTTGAACTGACAAAACGACAAAACGCACGTACAGGTATGTATGGGTATCTGCCAAGGAAAGCCCAGCCATCTGGTTGCTTTCGTGATTCTTTTAATTTGATACTACATACTGTCTCCCCCGCTTCCCCTCGTCGGGTCTGCTTCAGCTGGTTACCCAGTCATTTGATCATCCATAACCTCATTTCCGAATGGGAGGATTGCCGGCCCAGACAGCAGGTTGGGCCGGCCCAGCGAGGGTTGCGCAACGTGAGCTGTCAAGTGTCAGGCGCCTTCCGTCTCAAGCCTTTCCCTTTTGCTTGAGCATCGAGAAAAAAAAAATCAAGATCCTTGATAACCATCCCAGGTACCTGAGAGATATCAGGCATCTCCAAGGTAATATGCGAGTAGCATGCTGGCTACTGGGTGCGTTGCTCTGAAGTCTAAATAAAATTTGGGGCCTGCTGCTGCCAGGCTGACACAACGCACGGAAACGGTTGAGGTCGTGGGGAAGTTGGAGGATGCCTAGGAGTTCGGTAGGTAGAGTGTGTGTATGTGTATGTAGAATAGAGTAGAGTACAGCAGTAGGCTTACTTTTGATCCGTGGAAAAGGAGTCGGGAAATGCTGGTTTGGGATGCAATCGTGCTACACAAGAATATCCAGTAGGACCAGCCAGACAGTGATTATCCCTGCACCTAGTTCTGGCGGGACACTCGCCGCAACCGAATTCACAACCACCATTAACTAACTCCACCTCCGCAGCAACGGCAGGATCGACCGGTATTTGGTTCTCCTCTTGTCCTTGAATATGTGTACCTTTTTGCTATAGGGTAATTGCTAGAGTATGGGTGTGCGTTTAGCATGGAAGAGAAGGAGTGCGCCATAGAGTCAATCTGATTATGTATCTCTCTCAGTGCCACAGGACCGTAAGGTGGGATTGCGCACGTAAGTGTGTAGAGGAGTGGTTTTTGTACTGTAGGTACTTTGACTCGCATGTATAATTCTGGCGCTATAGTTTTTGGCATACCTACATACTGTACATCCTCCTGTTGCGGGTGTTATGGGGTCATATTATACCATCCTGTTCACCTTTGCGTACCTATAACCTATCGTCTCCTCTCCGAGTCTCCGGTGCATCTGTTCTGTCTTTTTTTCTGTTTCTCGTTCCGTGCACTCCGTCTTTTCGTCGACCCTCTTCCCGTTTCCCGTCCTTCATGCCTAGTCCTGCCTTTGGCTTCTGCCCTTGCTCTCTTAGACGCACGTACCCACTCGATCAAGCTTGATCCTCATCCTCATCCTCTCCCTCTCTGACCCCCCTTCTCCCCGATCACACCCCCCTCCGTCCCTCCTCCTCCTCTTCACCCGGCGGCGGTCTGGTGCCTGACTTGACCCACGTCTCGAGTCCCCCAGTCCATTATTCTCTAGCCCCCTTTCCCCTCTAATGTCCTCGGTGTTGTGCGCATATCATATCGCAGCTCTTGTTGTCTTCCTCAGCTCCACCGGCCTGGACATTTCTTGCCCAACCAACCAGATTTCTAGATTCCTCTTCCCTCGTTCCATCAAAACTTTCTTCGTCAGCATACTCCCAACTCTTGGTACAGAAAATCTCCTTCTCGTTCATGGCATAGTCGTCGTTGAATCATGCACCAAAGTCTCTTGCACTCGCCGTTACCAGATAGCAGCTTCTCCACAGGAAGAACGAGTTTCGGTTCCGGATCGACTGATCGATTACTTTATCTCAAACTTAGCGAGCCCGAGGACGCCAGAGTAAACGATTGAGAGAGAAAAAATCCCATCACTGCGGGGGTACTAGAAGATCACGGGCCAGGCAACGGTACTTGAGGATACATACTTATATATCGTACCACACCCCGCGCATCCCAGCACCTATTTTTTATTTATTTTCCTGGGTTATAGTTCGTCCACCCTGTAAACGTTATATCCAAGTCAGCACTGTCTGTCGTCAGTGGTTGTTCCTGTGCCGTACTCCCTGCTCTCCGGAACACGTCCCCCACCAAACAAAAAACAACGCTCATCCTGCGCGCACCTCGCCCAAAGCAAAACACTCCAACGAGGCCACGTTCGAACCTCATTAAAATATCAAGCACTGGTAAGGTTGCTGGGGGCAAGGTCTCCAGTGCACAGGATTCACGTTCACGACAGTGGCTGCCCCATATCATATCGACGAGTACCCTGGTCAGCATTATACCAATCGCCATTATCATCACCATAATAGCCAGTCGCCGTATATCTCACAGGAAAACGAGCCCCGGGGACTTGATTCCCTCGAAGACTTGAACGAGCCGCTGCTTCTAGTACAGCAGATGGCTCACCAAAGACCACCGCCACACATGAGCGGAGCAGGAGGAGGTCACCTTTATGGTCCGGGACTATCAACAACCTCTAGCAAACCAAGAGCCAGAACTCATGAAGCCTTAGAGTTAGATCTAAGTGGCCTCCGAGATGAGGAAGATGATCAAGATGTCGAACCACACTATCAGCACCACCCGCCCCCGTCGCATCACCAGCATCCCCAACATACACACCACCATCACATGCCCGATCAGCCACCACCTTCAAAGATCGCACGAACTGGTCCTGTCATGGGACCTGGTGGAGGCTCACAAATGGGAATGGCCGGACCTTCAAATGTTGCAGGTCCGTCGAATATGTCGCAAATGCCTGCACCAGCACCAAGACCACGGGGGCCAAAACTCAAATTTACCCCCGAGGATGATCAACTTCTAGTCGACCTAAAGGAAAACAAAGCGTTGACATGGAAACAAATTGCGGAATTCTTTCCTGGGCGGTCCTCTGGGACCTTACAGGTCAGATATTGCACTAAGCTCAAAGCCAAGACAACACAGTGGACAGATGAGACTGTAAGAACCCCTAATCCTTTTTTGAAGGCCGAGAGATTTGCTTGGAATGAAGCCTCTTTTTCGCTTCAGGCGCGTGTCGCTGTTCGCTTGGAGTTTAGTTTTCTGACGTTGATGCGGGGGAATGAAGGTGTTACGGCTCCGCAATGCCATGGTCGAGTACGAGCAGGACCGCTGGCGTTTAATCGCAGCCAAGGTTGGCAACGGGTTTTCCCCAGCAGCTTGCAAGGAAAAGGCGAAAGAGTTGGACGAGCAATAGATCAGGAAATCGCTCATCTCAAAACGGAAAACCGATCACTATTCCGTCAGATAGTTCCCTTGCATCTATGGCTTGCAGCGCGGTGGCTTGGTATCTGCAGGTTGAGATGTGGTATGTTTATGGCTTTCGCTTCCATTTTATTCTGTTTATTTAGTTCTCAAATTTGCTACTGCGCACTTTATCTTGTGTTTTTGTTTGTTTATCTGGGCCGAGCGAGCGAGGGGAGTTGAAGTTATTTTTAGCCCAACGCCAATTTTTGGTTGGAGGCAAATACTGTAATTCGATGTTTTTGTAGGGACTATTGGCGTTCATCCTTCCTTCCATGCTTTATTATTGGATTTTATTATTGATCTTCTTCCAAGTCCAATCCCGGATACCTTTTATTTATTCTTTTCCTTTTATTATTTTTTTCCTGCGATTAATTCTTATTTCTCATTTTCTTTCTCTTCTGCGATTCATCCGGCAACAGAGAGCGCAATTCGGTTTATTTCCCCCTCGGGATCGGGATATGACGGATGGGATAATATTGAGATCCCTCAGGACGGACGAAGGGAGGAAAAGTCGACTGATCGGGTATCGTTGGTGTTATATGAGGGCGACGGGATATTAGGGGATAATGACTGAGACTCTTTTCTTTTCTTTTTCTTTTTCTGTTTTTCTTTCCTTCTTTTTCTCCTGATGCACCGTTTCCAATGCATTTCTGGAAGGTTATTATAGGTCCGAATGTATCCTTTTTTCTTCTCTCTTTTGTAAACATCTTAGGTGGTGGGGAGGGGGCCGTATTTGTGTACTCGTATTCCTGTTTACCATACTTTTCCCTTGGATGGCTACTTCGGTATTAGCAAATACTCTTCCTATATCTTTGTCATTTTCTGTGTGGTTTTTTGTTTTTCAGTCATCTTTTAACTGCTGGTTTCGGGTTCCAATATATGTACCTCTACCCGCCCTCTTGCGTGGGGTTTATGTGGGGGTACTTCGATCTTTTATGCGTGTACGTGGTATTTTGCTGTAGCAGGAGTTGCTTGCGATATCTAGCAGACATTTTTTCTTCTTCTTTTCCACCATAGAGGAGGCTGTATTAATAACAATATGGTTGCTATATTTGTCGACGGACGTTGAATGACAGCGAATTGGAAAAAGACGTGGGTCGCGCCACGGCAGTCCAAGCAAGGAGGCTCTCCGGCTACCACCTTGCATAAATCCCACAACAGAGTTGATAGGCATGTTATATGTGCACCTTTTAATGTTAACAAGTCATATATATACTGTAAGTATCTTAACACAGCAAACAAAGAACGATATATACGTCACCGTACGTGTATGATTCTCGTGAGAGTTGAACATGAAATTCAGCATCAGATGGGTGATAAAAGAACCAACTAAGGGGGTAACCAAGAATAAGAAGGAGAGGGTGCAGAGGGATAAGAGAACAAGAGAACAAGAACAAAGTTCGGTACGAGTCAATGTAGCTTTTCAGGCACTATAATATTAAATAAATTGCCCTGCCGTTCTCCCGCGCGGCAGTGTCGCCGTCTTCGTCTATCTGCTGTGTTCGTGGGGTACCAGAGGTCGGAGTGGCTGAGACAATGCCATTGTTGTCCCACAACCACCGACTGCTGCCGGTAGAATCTTAGATATGATTGAATCTACGCCGGTTACGAATCTTACATCACTTCATACAGCGAAGTCGTCTGATTACCGCGCCATTCAACTACAACACATCAACCCCGAAAAATCTCCACTCGATACCTTCCCCCCACATCCGATTGCACGACAATGCTTTTGCAACGTACTTTCGCCCTCGCTCTCCGAAGAGCAGCTGCCCCTCGTGCCGCCGTTTCGTTTGCTGCGAAGCGCACCCTGGCCACTACCCCGATCCGCCGGGACATCAAGAAAGAGGTTGAGCAGAAAGTCAAGACCTTTAGCGGTACTTCGCCCATATATCAAAAAGTCACCCGAAAATGCATTTTTTAATAAACAATCTATAGAAATCAAGACTGAGGAAGACCTTATCGGTCCCGGTGCCGCCCCCGGCACCGTCCCGACGGATTTTGAGCAGGCGACTGGTCTCGAACGTCTCGAAATCCTCGGAAAGATGGAGGGTGTGGATGTTTTCGACATGAAGCCTCTAGATGCTTCCCGTCGGGGAACTATGGAGAACCCAATTGTCGTTCAGAGTTTCGGTGAAGAACGGTAATACCTCCCTCACTCGCCACACTGATCCAGCGCCACGCTTCTCTCCCCCCCGCCCCCGCCAATTGTGGCAACAAGTGTGCTGATTCAACTATACAGATACCTCGGATGCACTGGGTACCCAGCCGACTCGCACAACACAATTTGGCTTACTGTTTCGAAGGACAGACCAATTGTAAAATATCTCTGTCTTACCACATTGTTGTCTGTCCCATCGCACTAACACGGATAGGAACGCTGCCCTGAATGCGGTGGTGTTTACAAGATGGAGTACATCGGCGCTGAGGCTTCGCACGACCACCACCACGATGAGCGTAAGTAGTCACCTGATTTTGTTTTTTGGTGTTGTTATTGTTGTTGCATGAGCTCGGAAAATCCACCCGGCGGATGTGGCCTCTTCTTCTTCCTTCGTGACTATCTTGACTATCCTTGAGAGGAAGGACATAGCTGACAATCCGTTCAATATCTTCTTTTACAGACCACACCGAACACGTCGACCCGCCTACCATGGCTGACTTTGTGAAGCCGCAGTACTGGTAGACAGATACCACTTGCACATACCACACATCACAGCTAGCATCCAAGTTTGGATATTCTTTTGTAGAAAAGTAGAATAAAGTAGTTAGCACCCAGACCTCTATTTAGCATTAGCTTCCGTTGTTGTCACTGCCTGCATTCATCCTTAGTCCTACATACCGACTTGTGAGACAGAAAGAAAGTTTTGGCTGTGATGACTCCCGGGATGGCTCATCAGTGCCATCTCTCTATCATTCATCGTCCCCATCCTGTGAGTCGTGAGTCCTGTCTGTAACCCGGGAATAGGAAGGCCTCATTAAAGGTCTGTGGACGGAACTATCCGTAAGGGTAGCTATTCGTTGAATATGCAATGCCCAGTGCGGTATGCGTTGTGCGAGATCGGCAGGCGGTTGACACTTGAAGTTCGCGTATCTAGGACTCTGAGTGGTGGTTGGGGCATGCCAATTGCAAAAGGAAACTGGGCACTACTACACAAGGACAGTTGAATTCCAGGGGCTGAATAGCTGATTGGCTGGTTGGATGATCCTCAAGTGACATGACCCGAGCTCGACAAAGGTCAGGGACCCACAGCAGTATCAGAAAGGAAGCACCTGTCTTGAACTGTAATATTGTTATATCTCTTTTTTTGTGACCCGTTCCTTTTTCGTCTGCCATTCCCGTGGTGGCTACCCTGGATGGATATCTTGCTCCTTCTTGATCTTATTTCCTTTTTTCCCCTTCTCATTTATCCTTTACGAGAAAGGTAGGTAGATAGTAAGTTCTCTTTTTTTTTCTTGCCATGTCACTCGTGCCTATGCCTCTGCCTACGCAGGATCGTGTGTAATACAGGAATAGCACTGCAGTTTGTGCCTTACACTTGCCTTTGCGATTGAGCTCTACCTTCTACATGTTTGAACAAGAGTAGCCGGTACATATGTACATACATACTTCGTGTACCGGTACACGCACCTCACGAGATGATTTGTACCCGTAATTGATATTACAAAGATACTCTTGATTCAGGATCGGGCAGTAAGTCAAGTAAGTAGAAGTACATGTACTTACATGGTACTTATGGTATGTACTCGTAACTTCCTGACGTTTTTGAACGCGACTGATATTGCATACCATACAAAAATACGCCAAGATCCTGATTTTGGGTGTATGCAATAGTGGCCCAGTCCAAAAACGCCAGGAGACTACGAGTAGGGGTATGGGTGCGTGTCCTTATCCATGCTCCATCATCCATGGTACTCCCCCAAAGCCCACCCGCAATCCGTCTTGGTAGGGTAGACAGATACCGGTGTCCCTTGATAGGTACCAATAACCGGTACCTGTATCACGATCATCGATCTCTTTAATTGTGTTACTGAACGTGAAACCTTCTCCCGCAGCTGGTTCTCCCGTTCCATTACATACATCCTATTTCACTCACGCCTGGCATTCAAAAAGAAAGTATAGGGGGGTGATGGTGTTGAGGGAGGAAGGGAGAGAGAAAACAAGCTACAGATCACCGACATATCCTGCCAGATGCATCGTTATCAAATCCTGCACCGGATATGATATCACCGTATAAGTAATCAAAAAATGAAAATGTTCCGTTCCTAAACGACTCTAGCGGCGAATCATCTACTACCAAGTGCACAACTAGGAAAACTCTATTTCACGCCCCCAATAAACACTCACCAAACAATCGACCATAAAAGGGAGCACATTGTAATTTCACTTTCATTTCTCTCATTTTGCTCTCTACTCAACCTGGCCATGTTTAACTATACCGGTCGGAACTATACATACATCTGTGCTCCATAAATCATTTTATAAACGTTAACTGAGAGAGGCAAGTATGAACAATTCCGTCGCCCCATCCCCCTGGCATCGTACACTAAACTGTTACTGTGCTTCATCCCCGACCTCTTTTGTGTAAAGTGCCAGATCTGTTGGAATCGCCCACATTTGAATAAGATTTCAGGCATTTTCACCCCTACTACAATCATCAAGGGAAGAATTACTGCATCTAGCTCTAACATTACTTTCCCAGAGCCTCCTTGTACATAATTGTGCAGATCTTCCTCGCTGTCTCGTGGTTCACACACGGTTTTGGATATCCTAACTTCTTAAACTCTTCGATGCCTAATCTTTCGAAGGGCGCATGAACAGCCTTTCCTTCAATACCTCTTAATTCCTCTACCCATTGCTTAATATAGACGCCCTCCGGGTCGAACTTCTCGCTTTGCCTCAGGGGATTGAAAATGCGAAACCATGGCTGCGGGTCTACCCCAGTACCGCTG